TCCTGAACCGAAAGAGCCACAACAAACCAAGGAGAAGAAAGACAGGAGGGCACACTGTCCAAAGACCAGGACGGCACAGGCAGTGCATGAGCAGACTGGAGGTGAAACAACACACGAGAAAGCCTGCGAAATGGTGCAGAAGGAACATCAATACCGAAAGCAAGCAGCAGCGGCTCCGCCAGCACTGCACTATACGAGGCGACAGTATTAGGCAGCAGAAACCAAGGTGTCAGACCCAGGAACGTCCCCAAGCCAAGCTGATGACAGCTCCAGGAGGGAAAGAAATGCAGGACCGAAACCAAAAAGCCCCGAGCGCGCAATTCCACCGCCACAAGTGCAGCCAACAGGGAAGGAAACCTGCACAAAGAGTCGCCCCGCACCAACATCCCGCAGAAGGGCAGGAGCGAAAAGACACACATTAAGATGTGCAAAATCGCCCCCAGGAAAACGAGCAGTGCTGAGACAGCTCTAAGAGAAGAGATATGAACAAAAGAATGAGAAGGCCAAACACCCAGAAGCTGCCCAGAATAGGACCCACAAGACCTAGAAAGGACCGGAGGGAAGCCCCACCGAACGACGACAGACGTACCAGAAAACGGGAAGGAGCAAAACCGTCCCGAACCCTCGAGAACAAAAAGAAGCAAACACAAAGGACGAAGGCACAGAAAAACCCAGTCGCACCCGAGACCAAAAGTCATGCAGAACCCCAAGAAGAGGGGGACATGACGGAGAAGCCTCGTCCCAGAAAAAAAGGGGGCGAAGACCCGTAGAAAAGCACCCACCGACAGGACGGAAGCAACGGGCATAATGGACAAGGAACCGAGCCCGGGGAGGGGCCGACGCCCAAAAAGCTTGTGTGGAGAGGGGGGACAGAAAAACCCCACTCCACAAAACCGCAAGCCCCGCCCAAAGGGGTAGAAAACCCCTGGCGGGGACCAACAGGGCCTGAGGCCCCCCACGTTAGCCCCACCACAGCCCCGGGAACCCACCCTGCAGGCCCCGGGGCCGAGCTGTCTCCCCAAAGCCCCAGCATGAAGAAAAACCCCGGGGCAGCCGTGAAAAGCAAGAAGGAAGGGAGCCCACTAGGCTTTGGAACTTGAACCGAAAGCGAATAACAGACGAGGGGCAAGACGAAGAGCCCAAACTCATCCCCAGCCAGCACAACGAGGCGAAGACAACGAGGTTAGGACAGAGAATCCAAGGAACATGGAAAAACCAGGCCCGGCACAGCAAGACCGGCAAGGAAGGAGGACCCTAGAGGGAGCACGGAAGGGCTGAACAAAACGCCACAACCATACCCCAACACGCAGCCGCAGTACCAAAACCGCAGCAAAACGTCACCACACTTCCCGAGGAAGTGACAGGGAATATAAAGATAAACCGTAACACGAGTGGCACACAACAAGGGGACACAAGTGGAAACCAAGAACCCAACCGAGCCACAGGGACGGTAGAAGAAACGTGTGCAGTGTAACAGGCAATTGATGGAACACATTAGGCAGCCCACACCTGGGCTGACCCCATACACAACCCCAAGAGCAGAGACGAGAGCACCCAGGAAGCACAGAATCTGCACATCAGGCGAACGACAGGGGAGAGGTGGGTCCAAAAAGCCAGAGCCCAACCCCGCAAGCACAAGGAGGCGAGCACATAAACACCCTTGACACAGGAAAACATACCCGTGAACAGGCACCTCCACCGTTGCACTGTGGAACAAGGTGGAGGCGGGGCCCTGAACTCAAACATGGTTAGACAAGCATAGGAGAGGGGCAGGATGAGTACAGGCAGGAGTCGCCTCGTAAGAGCCAAGAGGCCACCCGCAGTCACCTGTGAACCGAGGAAGGAATCGGGTGGTGAGAACAAAAGCTGCCACGTATGGGCCAATAGCCCTGCAGCAGGCACCTCGGTTGTTACGTGCTATGTTCTCAAGTATGTATGTACACTCATTCCTACTTTCAAAAACAAAAACAGCATCAGGACGAAGGAGACGCCAGACCGCACCAACTCACATGCAGAACATAGGCGCTGAAGGGCCGTGACGCAAGCCTATGAGAACGTAGCTGCCGGAGGCGGCCAGGGCGCCCATGCCGGAGAGGAGGAGTGAAGCGGCAAAGGAGGCTCCCCCCACCCAAAAATGCAAAATAGTATAGGGTATCCATATCAGCCATGGATAGCTCCAGGGAGCCGTAGAGGCTCCCCCCAGAAAAAGCATGTTTTTACCAGTCACAGGTGTTGCAGGTATATAAAAACATGAATACAACATTGTGTCAAAATTTCAAAGCAATTGGTAAAGAGGTTTTGGAGATTTCCCTTACATGAAAAACACAGTTTTTCCCCCAAAAATTATGTTTTTACCTTTCACAGACGTGACATCTATATAGTATGTATATAAAAACATGCTCGAATGCGAATAGAACGTTGTATCAAAATTTCAAAGCAATCGACGAAGAACTTTCGGGGATTAGAGATTTTGAGCAAACGAACATTTAAATTTTTATTTTTTGAGTTAATCGAGCTCGCAGTGTGTCAGACTACAAGTGTATGATTCATTCACTATTGTGCAGCGATATATAAGAAAATTGTACCAGTGTTTAAGTGCCACCCTGACCCCTCCACTCCTCAAGCCAAGCGGTGCCCGGTCGACCCCCCCTTCTCCCCACCCGCCGGCCTCACCGCACCACTGTACCTCCTGCCACCCCACTACCCCGTCCACCTTGCGCCTGGGCATCTCCCACCCACCCATTCACCGTCCACACAGCGCTTGTTGCAGAGATGCGTTACCCCTCCATGCACCCAGATATGGAACAAGTCACAGCAAGCATTCAGGTTCCTCTTAAAAGAGAGAGATACACAAGAACTCACATGAGTGGCGAGTGCGAGGGACAGCTAACCACCCCTGCTGCCACCACCTGTGTCCACCCTCCCACGCCTGCCGATGTCTCAGCTCGCCCGGGGGATGAAGGGGACTACTACAACTAACCAGGAACCCCTCAGTCAAGAACACGGTCCTGGGAACAGTGCACCCAGAGAAATATGTCAGGTTTGTGATGAATCTCATAGTCTTAGAAACGATGGAACCCTACGCCAACACAACAGCTGTGAGGGTTCATGGATGAAACCTGTAGAGAGAGAAGGCCCACAGGTTCCCCCCGCACCCCCACACATCCCAGCAAACTTCCTGTCATCAGATCACCTCCTGGGGGCCATCAAAGCATCCACCACCACAACTCTTCCCCACATTCCAAAAAGCAGCGCATTCATTTGCAGCAGGGAAATATACAGATCTTCATAGGAAAGTTCATGAATGGTCTGAAAATCTTAATGCCGTGGCCACCATCAAAGCATGGCACAACTTGCTCCTGTTTGGCAATATCTGCATAGGTGTATCTGTAAGAGGAGGCAAGTCGCTAAATTTAAAAAAAAAAAAAAAAATAGGGGTGGTAGGAGAAGAAAAGATTAAATTGGTCAGTGAAAATCCACAAGGTCTTTTCTAAATACTCTTTATTTTCTTCTTTGAGGTTATGGGTCCCTACAATTGCACCAGAGGTGGTACCCCTATTATATTATTATAAATAAGTATGTGGGTGTCTGTATATCTATACTTGTATCCATACATACTTAGATCTTCAAAGTTATATATAATAGACAGTATCTTTTGACACACAAATACAACCTGTTAGCATGAAAAACTAAATAAATAAAGAGAAAAACAATGAAAATAAATCAACAAAGTTATTCCCATGTGGCACCTCAACCATTTTTACCTAAAAATATTCAACTTCTCCAAGCCACTACAGCTAAACTACAAAAGCTAGAGACATTTTATTTGAATTTTTGTTCCCTGAAAGCTAATTAACAATGCCATAAGAAAAAAACAGTGTTGAATGTATTGAAATGCCATTTTCTGGGCGAGTCCTGGAGGCTCCCCGGAGCTATCCAGGCTGAATGGATATGTATAACTTTCTGGCATCAGTCAAAGTGCTAGGAGTTCTTGCCTACCGGGGACCATGAGCCAGAACCTGGCCCGAGGAGAAATGGCCTATAGAAACCCCCCCTTGTGGTTGGGAGCATTCTATGTCTGCCATTGACCGGGATAGGCACCCAGAAAAGCAGGCGCCCCAAAACAAACCCCTATTCTGGTGAAAATATTGCTACCGAAAGCCGAACGAGTGGACAGAACTCCTCAAACAAAATGATCAAACTAGCATGACGTCATCACATCGCCACACCACCAACCCCCCCCCCTCCCCGGGAGGGGGAAGGGGGGTCCCCAGACCCTCCACGCTGGCGATCTGGCAGTTCTTAGGCTGGATGTCAAAATACGCGAAAAACACCGCTGACTGGAGGGAGGGAGGGATGCCGGGGAGCCTCCAGGACTCACCCAGAAAATGGCGTTTCATTACATTCAAAGCTGGTTTTCTGGGGGGAGCCCCGTCGGCTCCCCGGATAACCTCACCACAGATAAGGTAAAGTGCAGTTAAATGTTCACTTACTTTATTTATGGTTCATATTGTAGCAAGTAATCCTTATACTTGCTCCATTATTTCATTATCTTTATGGCATAACTAATTAGCACTAACTACACAAGCTATAATCCTATCCCTAATTACAGGTAACAGTTCTCACATCCTCCTATCCTAGTAGAGAAAGGTGAGGGGTAGTTATCAAATATAAGGAAGCGATATGAGAAGACAACAGTACAATTTCCAGTCAAAAATGTAGCACTCGGCGTAGGCAGTTCTAATCATCTCCAAGACACTACAGCTTCGACACAGAACAGACAGCAGACTAGGACCGCATCGAGCTACAACGCTCTCACTCCCGAGTTCAGACACTCACAATTCCCAAGTGAGTCGCCACGCTCTCCCACATAGAGCTCCGCGACTCCGGCTACACTCGGCTCTCTGCTCTGCTCCAAGCTCTGTCTCAACGTCTACGACACTGCTGTATCCAGGACTACTAAATAAATATGAAACTCACTAAACACTGTGTATCTAATCTACCCAACAACGTAACAATCGTACGTTACAATATTTATACCCGATTGTTTTGTGTACGAAAAATATGAGTAGTATTCTGTATAAAATGTATTTTTATGTTAATATTTTTGGGAGTGTGCAACAGATTAATTCAATTTACATTATTTCTTATAGGAAAATTCGTTATGGTTTATGAATTTTCAGTTTATGAACCGTCTCTGGGAATGGATTAAATTTGAAAGCGGACGTACCACTGTACTATATTCTGAGAAATGTAGGATGTAGGATACATCTAAAAATTATGTTTTTGATACACTTAAACATAAATTGGGTCTTTCATTCACCTTCATTTAAGCAATATGACATGGTAGTAAGTTTCTCCATTACAATTTTTATTATTATTAAAGTTATATCTCCTATCACAAGTTTCTTGCATTTCACAATTGTTAATCTTATTTTCAGTATTTTTTAAATCAATTAAAGACTAGAGTAAACTGCCAAATATGAACTATATAGAACTGTATATGAATATAGAACTATAGAACTCATATGTTCAGTTTCTTCTTTTTTTTAATTTGTGTTGCTGGGATGGCAGTTCCTTGTGTTATCTCTTGGATTTTTTCTCTACGCTTTCTCTCTTTTTCAGCTTCCCTCTCTACGTCCATCTCTGTCTCCAACTGGAATAAAAAAAGAAAAAAAAAAAAGAATGTAATAAAGTAAAAAACCAGCGTTGAATGTAATGAAACGCCATTTTCTGGGTGAGACCCGGAGGCTCCCCGGAGCTTTACCGGCTGATATGCTAATGTCAGACTTTGGCATCAGTCATGTGTATGGAGTTCTAGGGCCTACCGGGGACCACGGCCAGAACCTGGCCCCCTCAGAGAGGCAAGGGGAGCAATGGCCTATAGAAACCCCCGTGTGGTTGGAAGCATTCTATGTCTGCCATCGACCGGGTCAAGCATCCAGAAAGGTAAGCATTCCAAAACAAACCCCTATTCTGGTGAAAATTGCTACCTAAAGCCGAACTAGTGGATAGAACTCTTCAACAGAAAACAAGGAAACTAGTATGACGTCATACGTCACCGCCCCGCTGTCTGCGCAGCTCCTCCCTCCTCGGGAGGGGGAAGGGGGAGCCCCAGACCTCCCACGCCGGCTATCCACCCATCAGTTCTGAGGCTGGATGTCAAAACACGCGAAAAACCGCCGACCGGAGGGAGGGAGGGTTGCCGGACAGAACCCGATAAGCTCCAGGGAGCCGTAAGGGCTCCCCACAGAAAAAAGGTTTATTCAGTGTATGTCAGGTAGGCTGCTTTATTTTCTCCGAAAAAAAAATAGAATACTGTATCATATTGATGTTTTTCGGTGGTGGAACGGATTAATTTTATATCCATTATTTTGAATGGGGAAATTTGTTTCACAAGACGAGCATTTCACATGACGAGCTCAGTGCCAGAATGGATTAAATTCGTCAATTGAGGCACCTCTGTATTATATTCTTAGCTTAATCAAACAATGTTTTTGCTGTTATTACACTACATACACACAATTATATATAACTATCTACATATTTATGCACCATAACAAACCACTAAGCTGGTCTGTTGACAATTTATAAACTAACCAATTCAATACACAGCCTCAGAAAAATGTGAGCTCCAATATACGGGGCTCATAGCCTGATGTATATCTCATGCACCCACAAGAGTTTTGAATCTTATGATACATTAAGAAAAATGATATGCGGGTGTGTGCACTCCTTTTTCCCATATCACAGTGTGCATAGTACAGTGTGGTTAATGATGAAAAAAAAAATTAAGAACCCTAATTTCTCTAAGCACATCACATGTTACTAGTTCAAAATGAAGAAAACCTTCATATTATTAACCCAGTTGTTGTTGTTGGTTATTTTAGATTCAGCTACTCTGAACAAAAAATTCCAAGTAACAATGGTTATGGTGAGCCCGTAGTGGACTTACCTGGAGCAGTAACTGATACAGTTACAGGGAAGACCCAGTGAACTTACCTCCAGTGGCTTTTTGCTGCTCTGATTTCCATTGTTGGAGATGAGACATAATTTTTTCCCACCACCTGGTATTGATACATTCACAGTGTTACCAGGGGCTTTATTTCTGAAAAATATATATTTTATTAAATGACGTTACAGTACTGTACTTAAATATAAAAGAACCAGACAAGATTATTCAAAATTGAGCACTTTTCTTTAATGAAGGATGAAACTGTTTTGAAATTCAAACACAGTAGTACTGAGTATTTAAATTGTTAAAACATTCAACAAATATGGTACATATATTCTAATGTACTAGGAGGGTTACTGGGCAGTGCCTGGGATAGTCTCTCTCTACTCCCTCCTTCCACATCTCCTACATTCTTGTAAAGTCACTAGCATGCATAGCATTTCAACTGTCAAATTTTGAACAGTCTCTTATAATATTATATACATAATGTCTGAAAAATACCACAACTAAGCTTTTGTATCTAGATTCTGCATTCTCAATTCTCTCACAATTGCTAGATCACTATGACATGGCCTTAACCACTGTGTTGCTCGCCTTCCAAATACGGCACCCCCAACCCACCCTGTGCGCAGGAAATAAATTCTCTGGAAAAAATTCCTTTTGTTTTTGAAAATATTCAATACCCTTCCCTGAACATAGATATGTAAAAAAAAAAATCGAAATTGTAATTACTTTGGCAGCAATGGGGTCCGGAAAATGGCGTGTGACGTCGTGATTTGGTGGTCGCTTGTGACGTTGACTCCAGGAGCCAGTCACCCACCAGCTTAAACATGCGCGAGTTGCCACAAATATTTTTTTGTGTACATTTCCAAATACATTTGTTTTTTCTTCGAAATCCTATGTATAATGAACACGTAAACAATATTATGGCAGTAGAACATCCGTACTGCCCCAAGACACTGTTATATGTGTCTCAAATGTGTCCACATAAATTGCTCATATATCCAATGTTTCATGTTCATATATGTATATTTACAACATATTTACACACTATACACTATCACACACTATATACATTCACCATCAACACACTCAGAACTCTGCGAGTGTGAGCTGCCACACCCAGCCAGCCCTCCCTCACTCCTCCAACACCTAGCTTACTCCATACACCTTACTTGCCAACATTGCTCCTCCCACCATACTGTTATTGTTTTTATTACACTATTTACACATGTTATGTATACGTATCTACATGTTTTATTCACCATCACTATGCAAGTAAGCTGGTATGTGTCCAAACAGCATAGTGGCCACCATACACTGCATGAGAAATCACACAGCAGCCAGCAGACGACGCTATGAGTACAACGCCACCTCCCTCACCAAAATAGTGAGGGAGGTGGCGTTGTACATAGCGAACCGCTAAGCTAGTATGGTGAGCAAAACAAGAGTGGCTGCCACACACAGTGATGCTATCTGGAATCCCTCCCCCCTCACCAAACTTCCTCCTCTCACAATATTACGCACAGCGCTAATTATCACCACAGTCCTGCTATTATCACAATTCTGGTCACTATATCCTGTAAATGAATAACTGACCACAAATTTATTTTGTAAAGTAACAAATGAATTCTTTTGAAGATTCCTAGATGGACGAAATAATGTTGTGGTGCTGTGGCTAGCACTGTGAACATTGTGAACAGCATTGATTCACTGATATTTGAACATTGTACACAGTCATTATTACACTCAGGCTCTTCTGAAATACTGATGTGAACCCAATGTAGTCGCGGGAGATTTGAAATATATATTTGAAATTTCCAACAGTTATTCTCATCCCTAATACAACAGGATATATTTCCTGTATTAGGTTTCATACTCATTTAATACTCATTTACTAATCCTTAGTACAATGGGATGTACATCCTGTACTAAGTGTTATAATTAACTAATACTACTAATCCGTAGTTTAGTATCATAGAATTCATTGCATTAGGACGTGGAACATCATGTAATTTCTCCTAGAATTGTGCAGTTGCGTCAGCTACCCACGGAGAATAAATTTCCACATACAGTATCTGTATATCTGATAGCAGTCCAACCATTTACTTTCCTTTATCAAGGATAATTATTTAGTAATAGGTTTACTTTATTTAGTATACAACAGTTTACTGGAATTCCTTTACCCAGCTTGATAGCTGTTCTAGTAAATAATATTATAATACAAAATCATTTCCAACTCCAAAGGATTCTCGTTTATTTGTGCAGTCTACGTTAACTGACTTGCACTGTGAGAATCAAACATCACCACATAAAGTATTTGATTAAGATATAAACAGTTTTCATAAACACTTCCTTCCTTATTTAGCTTTAATGAATAAATATAATTTATGCTCAGGCCCCCTACTGAGACCCATCGCGCATGCGCATCCCCCGAAGGGGGAAGGAGGCACTCTCACCATATTAGATCCACTGGCAGCACGGTGGTCCGAAGCGGTCCTTTTATACCAGACAATTCTGCAAACATCTGTACATCATTGGACTTCAGATTGAGGACGCAGCTCACCAGAATTACGGACACCAGTATCGGCAGGCATTTACCTCTTATTATTTGTTATTTGAGCTCATTAATAAATATTTATGAAGGTGCCATGTCGTGACGCTGCAGGCGATAAAATAAAACCCATGTAAGTGCTGTTTCCTCCACTCAAATATTTAGATATTGCATTTATGTGTGTGAATCCTAGTTTGGAGTGGAAATTATGGAACTTAATTATTGCAGCATGGTGCAACAACACTGAGGAAGCGTGTGACTGTCATATACTTACGTGTTCCATGGATCACTATCTCAAGCTGTTTCCAGACTGTTGTAGAAACTGGACTCCACTTATGTCCCTCTGTCACAGCTGAGATTTAATCAGTTTTCATTGTAGATAGTATAATTTAATTATTGAGAGTCAAGCATTTCTAATCATTGCATATTAATCATACACATGATTTGATTTTAATATGCAGTAGTATTTCTTGCATTACATTTTTTTATCATTATCTATGTGTGTGCATATTATTAGTATTATCACATAATATATTTTGCACATAGATTAATCTCATAGAATACCCCCCAAAATGTGTCATGGGAAGCTGGTTCTAGAATGTACAGAATATATGGTTCATTGCTTAATTGCTTAATAGAATAATAGAATTTAATTACATATAATCATAGAGATCCATAAGCCACTGGTTGTCTCATTTAACATATTTTATGGTTCTTCGAGATATCTTAGAATTAATCTTTATTTGCATTCATAAAATTACACATTTATCAGTATTAAACTAGAACCAGATTTCCCCACATCATACTCTAAAAATATAAGATCCCGGAGGCATGTTACGCACCCCCGTCGAGCGCCTGCAGGCGCGTTGCACACTCCCCCTCCCCCAGTCGAGCGCCTGCAGGCGCGTTGCACACCCCCCAGTCGAGCGCCTGCAGGTGTGTTGTGCAGTTCAGTGGTTAAATGATGTGGAACACAAGAAAAACATTGATATAATATAAACAGATTTTGACACTTTTTTTCATAAATGGAACCATTGTATTATTGAACACAAAATGCATTTAAAAGGAAGTAGGTAGATGGAGCTTTAACAAACATAACCTGAAGTGTAATAATCAACAAAGTAAAGCATGGATCATCCACTGTGAAAAGCTCATTCCCCCAAGGTACCATGATAGCTCTGGTACCTTTTTGGATCCTCTTATCAAACACAGACAATGATACAAACTATAGTACTGTATTGTGTTACATTCTTCCCCTGCATATCAGTAGTTATTCCTATTCCTACCACTTTCAGCACCATCATGATTCATATTGTCCCTCGTACATATCTCCAACACGTCAAAACTGTATCATCTTCTACAGATTTCAGTATGATTTACATGAGAGGACCATATAGAGGACATAGCAAACCTCTAATCTGATGTTAATCAGGTCTTCCAATGAGCCATAGATAATATGATGTTTAACCACTGAAGTGCATTAAAATACGACACACACCCGTGGTGCGCCAAAAATAAATTCTTTCCATAAAATGATTTTCTCTTCTTATATTGTTAAAATACAGTCTCTGATCACGGGAAGCTAAAAAAAATATTGTATGTGACATACTTTAGCCGTGATGAAGCTGGGAAGTTGAGCAAATTATGGGCGCTGAGTGATGGAGCGCTCTGAGTCAGTCGGCCTCGCCACCCTGTGGGGCGGCAGTTGCCACAAATATAATGTTTCACAATTATTTTGATGTTTCTCATTCGTTTCTTCTCTTTTTTTGGTGTAATATTATTCAAAAGTGTGTAAATTGTGTAATTTTTATAGTTCAAAGTGTGGAACATCACTATGCTTAAAATTATGGGGTGCATATATGTGTGACACATATATATTATATTCTACGATCAATCAAACAGTATTTTTGCTGTTATTACACTATATACACACATTGTATATATCCATCTACATATGTGTTGACCATAATGAACCATTAAGTTGGTATGGTGAGCCCAAAAAAAACAAGAGTGGGCTGCCACACCCAGCCAGCCCTCCCTTACTCCTCCAATATCTTACTCACCAACATTCCTCCTCCCACCATATTGTTATTGTTTTTATTACACTATTTACACATGTTATGTATAAGTATCAACATGTTTTATTCACCATAACTATACAACTAAGCTGGTATTGTATTCAAACAGCACAGTGGCCACCATACACAGGAACTACAAAGAGGTTCAGAGGGACATGACCAGGGACGAGACAGCAAGGGCAGCAGATGCAAGGAAAAGGTGCAGGGAGAGGAACGAAGCCAGGGAACCTCAGCCTCCAACCCAGCAATCCCAGAGGGGAGTGGGGAACCCCAATCCAGCAACTCACGAACCCCAGCCCACCACCCAATAGGGCCCCCCATAACCCCCAGCACAAACCCTTCCTTGGCCCCTGCACAATGCCCACCATATCACCCAAATCCTCCCTCTCCCCTTACCTCGAGTATCCCCTGCTTTCCCAGCGCCTAGTCTTCCTGCCCCAAGCAGGCCCAGGCAAGACCTAAGCCCTCCATCTCCCACTCCACCTCCTCCCAAACCCCTGTCAACTACATCACAGGAGGGT